TTCTGTATATATTCCTCTTTCTCCTTTTATTTTAAAAACCCATATCAACTGGTGGAAGGAGTTATTTCCCAACAAACAAATCCTACCCCCAAAAACATACATATAAAAAAAAGTAAGAAAATGGCTATCACACTGAATACCCCTATTATTACCTCAGTATGATGGTGAGAACATTTTTGGAGGCTCACTTTACTTTCAGACATTCGAACTGTAGAATGCTGAGCTACTTGACCCTCATGGAGTGCTAGGAGCCAGAACTTGAAAAGCCAGTCACTTGTGTTCCCACAGTCTATTTACACATTGAACACACCCAGTAGCACAAAGTAATGTTTATCTGTGGTGGAAAGCTATTCCAAGAAGCAAGCAGTATCTCCATTTTCAAAAAGGAATGCCTCTGTTGATCAGCAGGTACAAGGCAATAGCAGTTTCATCCCCTAAAGCACATTGAGGAGAATTTTTGTCATGACATTTTTTTAAAAAAAAAATTATTATTATTGTAATATATTTTATTGATTTTTTACAGAGAGGAAGAGAGAGGGATAGAGAGTCAGAAACATTGATGAGAGAGAAACATTGATCAGCTGCCTCCTGCACATCTTCTACTGGGGATGTGCCTGCAACCAAGGCATATGCCTTGACCGAAATTGAACCTGGGAACCTTCAGTCTGCAGGCCGACACTCTATCCACTGAGCCAAACCAGCCAGGGCTGTCCAGAGATATTTTTAAGATCAATGTTGTAAAGGTGATTGATTCTTTTAATACTTTATTCCTGAAAATTATATTTTAAAGGACCTGAGAAAAAATATATCTAATGATAATAACTAACACGTATATTACAGGTATTATTCCAAGTGCTTTACATATATCAATTTACATAATTTCCAAAACTTACTAGGTATGAACTATCATTATCCCAATATTACAGATGAGCAAAATATTTTGCCCATGGTTACCCAGTTCATAAATGGTAGAGCCTTAAATTAGTTTTAGGTACTCCAGCACCACAGCTCATGTATCTAACCATGACACTGAACTGTTATGACTTTTAAGAGACAGTTTCATAGCAGGATGTAGCTGCTTAGCTGAACATTAGATAATGAGTGCAGTTTTCCTGTTGCTTATACTATACGGCATTTTAAGTTGGAATAAGTAAAAATCTTAGAGAGCTGTTTCCCCACAATGCTAATTCTTTTATATTATCACTAGAGGCCTGGTGCATAAAATTCGTGCACTGGGGGCGGGGGGTGGTCCCTCAGCCTGGCCTGCACCCTCTTGCAGTCTAAGAGTCCTCGGGGGATGTTCCAAGCCATCAGTTGGACATCTTAGCACTGCTGGGGAGGTGGGAGAGGCGCCCGCCACAACCGCTGCACTCACAAGCCATGAGCCTGGCTTCTGGCTGAGTGGTGTTCCCCCTGTCAGAGCTCATTGACCACTAGGGGGGCAGCTCCTGCATTGAGCACCTGCCCCCGATGATCAGTGCACATCATAGTGACTGGTCATTCTGCCATTCGGTCAATTTGCATATTAGTCTTTTATCATATAGGATAGTAGGCCTCTTTTTAGCTGCAGTGGCCCTTTGGGGTCCTAGGAATTAGTTAAAAAAAAAAAGAGAGAGATAAGTCTAGCTTAAAGTATAAAGAGAGTTTTACTTTTTCATGTTGAAAGAGTCCAATACAACATTTTTAAAAATATATTTTATTGATTTTTTACAGAGGAAGGGAGAGGGATAGAGAGTTAGAAACATCCATGAAGGACCTCGTGGCGCAACGGTAGCGCGTCTGACTCCAGAAACATCCATGAGAGAGAAACATCAATCAGCTGCCTCCTGCACACCCCCTACTGGGGATGTGCCCGCAACCAAGGTACATGCCCTTGACCGAAGTTGAACCTGGGACTCTTCAGTCCACAGGCCGATGCTCTAGCCACTGAGCCAAACTGGTCAGGGCTACATTTTTTAAAAAGTCTCATGAAGCCCAGTCAGTGTGGTCAGTGGTTGAGCATCAACCTATTAACCAGGAAGACATGGTTCAATTCCCAGTCAGAGCACATGTCTGGGTTACAGGCTCAATCCCCAGTAGGGGGTGCGCAGGCAGCAGGCAATCAATGATTTTCTCTCATAATTGATGTGTCTATCTCTATCTCCCTTCCTCTCTGAAATCAATAAAAATGTATTTTTAAAAAATCTCAAGGATATGTGTTTTGTTCTATTTTTTTTAGATTAGATGATTCCTATTGATCTGCCCTCAAGTTCATTAATTATTTTTTCAGCTGTATCTAAGCTGATGTGGAACCCATGTAGTGTATATTTTATTTTGTTTACTAGTGCCCCAGTGCATGGATTTGTGCACATTGAAAGGAAATTAATTAGAAGGTGGCTAGCAGGGTGGGACTGGGTGAGATGAGCTGGACACGCTCTGGAGTCAACCTCAAGTGGTTCCTTCCCTGGCCAGCCACACCTGGGGCAGTGATGTGGCTTGAAGGGTGTCTGTGGAGTGAGCAGGGTCCCTCTGGCAGGTGGAGTCCCTTGGCCTGACCTGTGGGGGTTGGGCTAAAACCAGCTCTGCAACATCTCCCAAGGGATTCTGGATTGCGAGAGGGGGGTTCTCAGGTGACGCACCCCAGAAATGAGCTCCCTCCTCTCTGGTTCTGGTGTGCATTGCCTGAGAACCTCTGTTGCCAAGTCACCACAGCTTGGCAGCTCCTGCGTTGAGCATCTGGCCCCTGGTGATCAGTGCATGTCATACCTACTGGTCAGTTGGATGGTCAGAAGGTCGCTTAGCCTTTTATATATATACTAGAGGCCCGGTGCACAAAAATTTGTGCACTTGGGGGGGGGGAGGGGGGGTCCCTCAGCCCGGCCTGTGCCCTCTTGCAGTCTGGGACCCCTCAGGAGATAACGACCTGCTGGCTTAGGCCTGCTCCTGGGTGGCAGAGGGCAGGCCCAATCCCTAGGTGCAGCCCCTGGTCGGGCTCAGAGCAGGGCTGATTGGGGAGTTGGGGCACCGCCCCCTGTCATGCACAGAGCAGGGCGGATCGGGAGGTTG